TTCAGATGAGCAGTTCCAAGTTCTGGGGAGTAAAAACACTTCGCCAGCGCCTCGTCAACCGCTAGTGGGGATTTTGCCGATGCCCCAAAACGATACTTAGCTCCGTCCTTTTCAGCTGATGGCAGTCACCTACTACCATTTTATGACATCGCGACCGCTGCCTTGGAAAGACCACAACATTTTCCCAGAATCCAGTAAGCAACTTGCAAATACACATTGAAAACTTCGAGAATTCAAAGTGCTGCAAATTTTGATGCGAACACCACTGCTTCACACCACTACCTACTTGATCAGGATAGATACTCAACCCACAAGTCTTAGACAGCTACAGTATACCATGATCGATTGACCCTGCTTCAAGAGCATAAGGCTGGTGTCAGAGTTCGCGATCCGTCGCAGGTTTCGCGCGATTCGCGCGACGGGTCACAGAAATCACAAGTGCCCGATCAATACTGCAAGGTGCTCTCCAATCCCGCCGCCATTTCTGCTTGATGGTGATGGCTGAATGACGACTGTTCATGATTCTACTTGTTTCATATTCAGTGTTTCAAATGTTCAAATGGGGCACTTGCAATTTTTGCGATTCGCGCGAATCGCGCGAAACCTGCGACGGATCGCGGACTCTGACACCAACCGTAGCATAGTCGACAGCTAGTCAACGACTGTTGCCATATTGAGCACAAATAGAAGACAGTTGTGAGTTTATGATAAGGTAGTGTAGAAGAATTTTTGGGTGGAAGAACTTTTTTATACTAGTATACCTGGAAATTTTGTTCCACTTCCTGCATTTCACGTAAAATTACGCTTCGTTCCGCTTCGATATCTCGGGAATTCAAGTTGCTATTCAGTAAGATATCGGATAGAATGTCGACGGCTGAAATAGCATGGTATTGAAGCAGCAGCACTTTATAATACATATCGCAAATTAACAGCATGAATTATGATCAAAACTATGTTCGCAGAGATTTCTTATTATCGGTGAAATGAAGCTCCTCAACATGGGAACAGGTAAGATGTTCTGAAATTTGAGCGCACCGCTACCCCTCTCCTCCCCCCAATCCTATCTGCAACCAATTCCAACACTTTCACTCACTTCTTGAATTGACTCTATCTGTAATACACTCTTTGTAATGCTTCCTTTCTGATTAGGCTTATGGCGAAACGACTTAGCTGAGGCAAGAACAGTTCTATTTTGCGAAGAAAGCAATAAACTCACATTGTTCGAGATCAGTGGAGAAACATTTAGCATAGTAAACGGTTTGTTCACGCGAAGTATATGCATTCAGATGAGCACCGATATTTTCCACTTCCAGCTCTAATGCGTTTCTCGTGCGACGTGAAGTTCCCTACAAACTCATATTTTTAGACATATAACAATCAACGATACTAGTTTCATTTTTATCAGTTAAAGAAGCCGACAACACATGCTATTAGTTGCTGGTCGAAATTTCATAGATAACCAAAGAATGAGGCTATGAAGGACAAAACATCAACAATTTTCATTATGTCCTCCTACTAGACTGGAGCTTACCTTAAATGCCATGTGCTCAAGGAAATGAGCCGTTCCATTATTTCTTTCATTTTCGTATCTGGATCCGGCATCTATCCAAACACCGATCTGAAACAAGATTACGGTAACACTCACTGATAATGGCCATGCAGTCCCCAACAGAAACTTGTTTAGTTTTGCAGGTACGCAAGATCTGATTCGCTACTCGAGATATTCGAATCGCCGGTTGAGAGTTCGAGGTACGTAGCGTGACATGCGAAACATAGTTCTCGAGCCAACGAGTCTATAAAAATGTGGATGTCAAGTGAGTAAAAAACATACTCCGATCACTCTAGTTGCATGACCACTGAATGTGAGCATAGGTCACCAAGAGTCGGTAAGACTTGGGTAGAGAAGGAAATCAGTTGCAGAAAATTTTGACACGGTCATATTTACTATACATATGACTGGGATATTTTGCAGGAAGTAATGGGGACCCACATGCGGGGAGCGTTATATGAGAGAAGCGTCGTGTGCTTTCCAGAACTCCACTCCGAAAAGAAGTTCAGTGAAGCGGCCGAAACTTTAATCGTAAATTTTAGATAGGCAGTCGAGGTGAGAAGAAATTGAAACGTATGATATATCGTAAGAAGAGCGAATGGTGCAACTGGTACCAGAAAAAAGCCAACGCCGTCCTCGTCGTGATGCAGAATAGCTTGATGACACGCTACTTTTACGCGGGTCGCATGACTAAACCTCTCTAGGGCGGAGATGCGGCCAACCGATGCTACCGATGTAAGATAACTAAGGACTGCCATCACCGACCACGATTAATGAGACAGCAAAAACTTTTAGGCGAGATTTAATAGTTGGTGCGAACTATGTACAATGGTAGGAACAGATGGAGGGTTGGAAGGCGTGAATAGACGTGGGGAATAAAAGGATGAAGTCCGACCGTTATGGAAGGCCTGAGGGCTTGCATTCATCTCGTTAGTCGATCTAGCGATTGCATAAGAACGCGTCGCTGGGGGCAAGTGCAAACACACAACGTGAATGCGCCTTCACGGTATTTCGAAAGTCCGATTTTTCGAGTGTGGAGAAGTAGGTACGTATCAACCGTGCGACATGGGCAACGATCGCATGTGTCGTACAATCGAAATGTATCTAATGCTATGCGGTCGTTACGAACGTACGGGCGACTATGCATGCGCCCAGAGACTGCGAGGTACAAAAGCGAGCTGAGGAATTATAAGGCAGTTCATTCTTTAATGTTGGATTACACCAAAAGTGGTTGTCAAGAAGTTTAAACTCATTCGAGGATACTGATGAATGAGCAATATCGCCGAAAGTAACCGTTAGCACTGTAAAAACTAGACTTACAGTAGCCGTAGGAATTTTGGTGTCTTCTGTGGCTATTCGAAAACCACTCGGCAACGTTGTGACCACGGTTTCCGGGAAGAACACGTTGCGGGCAGTGGCCTAACGCTGATCGCCATCTCCTTGTCGGCTGAATAGAACAAATATTTCAAAACTTATCAATAGGATTTGCGACCAACAACTAAAGAAGGAACGTGACGCAATCTCTGCTCCCAATTTGTTTCACAAAGTAATTAAATACGAGAGTTCAAAGAACGCACCTTCAAAATATGGCTCGTTACTATTCGATTCATCCCAACAGCTCTGAAAAAGACACCGGACCTGAGAAGACGGCGAGGTCAAAGCTTTTGAAAGTCGTGAAGCAATTTGTTCAAAACATTAAAGGGCTTTCTACCGTACTCAACCATGGAGCGCGTTTCTAACCCGTTTTGCGTTTTATTTGTTTGCGCTTTGGTGCCGTCTATTTTGTTGCTTTGTCGGTTAATTGAATGATTGACTGGTGTCGGTGAATCAGGTAGGCAAGCGAGTCCTACTACCTTTCCACCCTGCTATCAGTAACGCTTGCATGTTGTGTGGTAGTATAGTAGCAAAACATACTGAGTTCGGCTTTCCGGGTGTTCCCTTTTGATGGCATGATGATGTTTTTAGCTTTTTTGATGATGAATACTCGTAAAATATCATTTCGCTCAAATTCACACCCTTAATTGCTCCATTGTTCATGTGATCTTCAACACGGTCTAAATGTTTAACAAGCTTCCTGAGAGAAACATCAAAATAACCCTAAATGGTGCTCAC